AGCAGGTGACATATAAGTCAAATCTAGAGCAGTTATTAATTTGTCCACCATTTGCTTATCTTGAGGAGATAACGGGGTTTCTTTACCGATGTTACTGTGTGACTCCTCGTCTCTTACGTTCAATGCGCTACATTGCCCTGTTACAGTCGATGTTTGTGTGGTATCTGACTATTATTTCTTTTAAATTTACCACAATTCCTTGTGTCAGACTATCGCCTACCCTAAAGCGATAAGGTTTGTGAGAGAAGTTGACCACTGGTATTATCGCACCTTTGTCATGTACAGATACCAGAGTATATGGTATCATCAACTTATCAATTCTGCCAGCTACCTGAAGGGTACTTCCGGGTTGAATGTTTCTTCCTACGGCGACTTTAATGAACTTAAATGACCGTGGTGGACATACTTGTCTGTGTACAGCATGTAGTCTACATGTTTTCTTGTCAGGGTCTTGAAGAGACTTGAACAATTGTTTAGGAAGGTTTACATATTTAGGTGCTCGTTGAATTGAAGCAATTATGGGAGGGTGATCAATTAACTTTACTGGGAAAGACACAGATCCCAACTGTAGCCTACTGTGTCTTGCTCCCTTCTCCGATGTCAAAGAATATGTAAATCGTCTCAAAAAATCCATGCCTAACAATATATCACCAGGGAATGTTACATTATCCACCACAGTACACTCATGGATACAAGGTTTATCTTTTTCAATGTTAAAAGTTAAAATACATTTTCCCAGAACGTCAAAATGTTGACCATTGACAGCTGTTAATTGTGCACCCCCCCCCTCCCCCTTCCTTAAGGCGCACCTGACTGAAGGTCCTAAATGAGTCCATCTTAATGATGGTTACCTGACTACCAGTGTCCAGGAATGCAGTCAACCTCTTCCCGCACACCCTCACTTCAAAAGTGGGCCGCCCTTCCTCCTTGGGGGCCTTATCTCATAATTCCTTCTTATTATTGGGGCAGTCATTTCGTTTGTGGCCTCGTCCGCCACAACTCCAACACCTGGGGTCATAAGTGTAGTACCAGTGAGGAGGCGGACCAGCTCTATGGTGCCCTCCTTAACACGATGCGCATTGTTCGTATCTACCGCTTGGACATAAGAGGATTGTCTCGTGTCAGTTGTATCCCTACACTGCTCCTGAATATTCTGTAAGTCCGTAGCGTACTCTATTAAACTATAGTAATCCATCGTTACACTTGCAGCCGAAACGTGAGCTCCAAGTGTCCCGGGGATTAACATACACAACAGTTGTTTAGCCTTGTGACTAATTCTCAGGTCATCGTATCCTAATTCATACCTCAAGTCACGCACTCTACGCAATAAGCCTGTTCCAAAGTCTTTGAGCGTTTCGTTCGGGCCTCGTTTTAAACTAGCTAAATACCTATTAGCTGTTTCCTCTGTTATTTTATCTTTATAACGTCTCTTAATTGCTAACACAAACTCTGGCCATGTTTGCAAATATTGAAACTCTTGGTCCTGCATTATTGAACCATTAGGGTCTATACACGCTCCCGCTGCTAAATTAATTTTCACCCAGTCATCCTGGGCAGCTGACAAACATGAACCTACTTGCCCTAGCCAGTCGTCGATTTTCCGGTTACGTTCCACTATATTTGTCGGTAACTCTTTGCAAATTAGTTTGGGCAACACTGGTCTAGGCAATGAGAATGATGAAAATGGGGGCTGACGCATACCATGAGACGCCGGGGATATGGAGTGTAGATGTTGGCAATGGTTAGGGAAGGGCTGGTAATGGGGAGGGAAGGGCTGGTAATGGGGAGGGAAGGGTTGGTGTGAGGTAGGGTTATAGTGATGGTCAGGTGGGGGGTAGGGTTGGGTAGGGTGATGGTGTGAGGCAGGGGATTCTAAGGGTTGGTTCTGGGCAAGGCATAGGATGGTCGAGGAGGGTTTGGTCGTATGACCAAGGTTGGGGTTGCGAGGGGGAAGGGGTGGGGTGGTATTGGTGGGGACAGTCACCTGAGTGGACCCCTTGGTTGAACCCCTGTGTAGGCGTATGTACGCGCCCTGCCAGAAAGTTCACATACAGGGGTTCAGAGAGGCGCTTCCTAATTTCTGAGGATGGGTAAGGTGGGAGGGGGGGTGGATGGGGAGGGGTATGTGGGGAAGCTGCAGGCCGCCGCGCCCCTGTGGTGTTGGGTTGGGGGGACGGTCTGCGGGGAAGTGGGGGAGGTGTGATGTCATTAGGCTGCTGAATATCAGGGGTGGACACAAAGGCTACCCAGTATGTGATCTGATGTGACCCCATCACCTGCACCTTGTGGATCGTCACCCGACTCCCGAACCATGCTATCCACTTGGATAGCCTGTCTCGGTCTCAACATTTCAACTTCCACTTCATCTGAGGAATTATACAGTGTCATGGCTAAGTCCCCACGTGCGGCCTCAGCCTGATACTCTGAAAACCGTACTGCTGGAAGGTTCCGTTGGCTAAGCCCTCCCTGACTCCTTAATGTCCTATCTGAACTCATGATGCCAATAAACTACGTCCGAACGACTAGTTCACCGGACTAGCGTTGACCCAAAAAATGTTGAAAAAAAATTAAAAAAAAAAATCTTTGGAACTAACAATAATCCACTGAGAACAAGACAAAAACTCACAACGTCGTTATAACTAGCCCCTTTACTTAACAAGGATGGTAATTTCAATGTCACTTCTAAACCAAAAAAAAAAGTAATTAGTTTTCAATCTGCCTGCTCTTATGACAGAATATAATCGATATTACTTTCACCGCGTTGAGACAATTTCTCATACGCGATACCAATACACAATTTCCCACTCACTATTCATTAACAATAATTCACTGATAGAAACTATTTGCACTTCCTATCGGGAAACTGTAATTACTGCTCGTATGAGCTTAACTAATAGTTACTCTTACTCCTTAAACCTACAGCCAAATCACGTGACCCAGAACTATTTCCCTCGCTACTCTCGCGGGTCCACAGCTCAAAACTTGTTGCCACACCCTGTGACAAAACTTCAAACGCCAGGCGTCCCTAGACGTGAGTCAACTGACACACTAGTCCCCACTAGCATGCTGTACAATACCAGTACAACTCAGATTATCGCGTTCAATTGGAGTAAATCAGTCAATCGCGATAATATGAACAGAACCACCACTTAAAACTACTTAATAGCTACACCGAACAGCACAAGACACGTGAGCCTGAACACTGTAAAACAATGTTCACCACCGCTAAGCCACCATTGTAATATCTCATCTTGTATTATCTCGACCGCGCACCCCGCTACTACCACTGAGCTAACCGTGCAATCTCCGCTCTTTCTATGGTAATAACAGATGCTCTACCGATCATGTAAGATGTTAACACTCGGGCCGTCATACGAAGACGTAAACCAGTAAACAGAGGCGAGAGAGAGAGAGAGAGAGAGAGAGAGAGAGAGAGAGAGAGAGAGAGAGAGAGAGAGAGAGAGAGAGAGAGAGAGAGAGAGAGAGAGAGAGAGAGAGAGAGAGAGAGAGAGAGAGGGAGGAAGAGTGAGGCAGAGCGAGAACGAGAGCAAGAGAGGGAGAACGAGAGTGAGTGAGGGAGAGTGAGACACTAGTGAGGGAGAGTGAGACAGAAAGATAGACATAACCGTAGTCACAGCCTATCGTATGAGTTACAGTTACGCTGCCACCACCGAGTTACCGGACAGAGGACCGGAGTGAGATTCGTAGGTCTTGCAGATGGAATAACCTACCAGACAGGTTTAGGGGACAATTGAATGGTACAAGGATCCTGGCCTGACACTTGAATAATCCTGACCACTTGGGAACTATAGTGTACACAAGAATAAGGCGGGACACACCCAATACTAACACCTCAACACGGAAGACGAACGGGGGGAGGAGTACTGAATAATTAAGGACACTAGGTCACTAGGGCAAAGGGGGACGGTAGGCCCAATATCACTAAGGCAAGGAACCATTAATACACATTTAATAACACTTAACAAATTATGACTTTATTTGAAATAATTAAATAAGACACTCCCTAACTATATTCCCTACTAGAGGCTATGAGTACTGAATGAGGTGCTTTAGTACAAGAGAGCCGTACTTGATCGTATGCTGTTCCACAGTTTTCCTGGAGATGATGTTCCTTCCCTGAGTCTCCACACACCGTCCTCCTGGGCTGTGCCCACTCTACTGTCTGTCCCATGATCTGCTCCTCAGCTGAACATGAGGGTTTTGCATTTGATGTTTAGGGGTTAATCCCTGAAGATTATCATGACGGCATCAACTCTGACCTCTTCGTGATTCGATGACCGTTGCCCTGACTGTATGGCTAACTTGTACAGAGGTGTAACTTTTACATTGTCTGCCGCCGCCTGACTGGCGTCTGTGGTTTGTTCATCCTCCACGTGGCTTGTTCATGCTGTTATGATGTTCATGTTGTACTTTGTACTGCTCTCTTGTTACATACCGATGATACTTTTCAAAACGCTTGTGCTCTTTAGAGTGGAGTACTGCTGCACAATGACAGCCCCTTTCAAAGCTGGAGAAATTGCTGACCTGGAGAGCGTGCAGAGAACCTTTACTGCCAGAATCCACTCAGTAAAACATCAGTAAAAATTATTACTCAGTAAAAAAAGTAAAACATCTAAACTATTGGGACCGACTAGAGAGCCTAAATCTGTACTCCCTTGAGCGCAGGCGGGAGAGATACATAATAATTTACACGTGGAAAATATTAGAGGGGCTGGTCCCAAACCTGCACACAGAAATAACATCACATGAGACCAGAAGACATGGCAGGATGTGCAGAATACCCCCATTGAAAAGCAGAAGTGCAACAGGTACTCTGAGAGAGAACTCTATCAACATCAGAGGCCCGAGACTGTTCAACACGCTTCCGCTACATATAAGGGGCATAACTGGCAAACCCCTCAGAGTGTTCAAGAGAACTGGATAAGCACCTCCAAAGGATACCTGATCAACCAGGCTGTGACTCATACATCAGGCTGCGAGCAGCCGCATCCAACAGCCTGGTTGATCAGTCCAGCAACCAGGAGGCCTGGTTGACGATCGAGCCGCGGGGACGCTAAGCCCTGGAAGCACCTCAAGGTACTTGCCCTACCATCTACATGATTTGATGCTCTGCAAATACAGCACACATCAATTCATTGCACACTTATATAATAATTATTTGAGAACATATAACAAGTACTTTATATTTAAAAATAATTTTTTGTATATTTGTAGCTATACAATATTTGTATCCCTGGTTTCCATACAGTATATTCTAAACAAAATATATATTAACAAAACACATCACAACAAATAGTTGACAGCTGGTAGACTGCCAAATAACAAAAAGAGCTTTGAATATATGATCAGATATTCTTGAGATGGGACAGGAACCAAAGACTCGCCAGGTCCAAAAAGCACACTTGAAGCCTCCCCAAAACCTCCATTCATTCATTCACAAACTTCTCCCAAGACCATCATGAATTAATGAATGAATGCATGATGGTCTTTCCCCTAAGACCAAATGATCTAAGGTATGATCCAAATATTGAAATATATTCCCCAAAGATCAAAATATCCAAGATATGATCAAAATATTCAATCAAAACTAGTGACATCAAATCAGCTTAGAGAGTGGGTATCAAATCAACAGGAGGGTATAAATAACAGGAGAATTTGAGTTAAACTAGATAGCTACTTCCGCAAGTCAGACCTTTTCAAATCTGCAGTCTCTAGTAAATCATATGTTTATGTGAATAAATGTCAGACCAGGTTCAGACAAAATCTCTTATTTAAACTGCGGGGTTTCTGGAAAAATTCCCCTGTAATTAAACATTGTTTTGTGGGAGACAATACAATTATAGCTAGGAGGACTGACACTGGAAAAACCTATTTTATGACAACTGAAGCTCACCTCAATTCTCCTGAATGACTGTGGGATAGCTGCTGAATAACCAGAGTTCAAATTATAACCTCATTTAACTACCAATGTGTACTTTAGCTGTGCCTTTCCTTCCAAAAGGTTTTAACTTAAAAAAAAAAAATGGGTCTTCTTTATTATAATAATAATAATAATAATAATTTTTATTTAGGTAAAGGTACATACATAAAGAGATTTTACAAAGTTTGTTGGCTTTATAGATAGAGCTAGTACATACAATACCTAAAGCCACTATTACGCAAAGCGTTTCGGGCAGGAAAAAACACTAATGACTAAAGCTTAAAACTAATGGGTAAAAAGAAAAAAAATGCGTTGAGTACAAATAAAAATAGAGGTAAAAGAGGGGGGAACATTGTTGAAAAAACAGCACAAATACAATTACAAATTATTACAGAAAATTACATTCAAACAGCGTTGATTTGAAAAAAAAAAAAAAAAAAAAAAAAAACATACATGGGTTGAAAATAGAGGGGTAAGGTAGGTTACAGGGAATTTATTAGGTATAGCTTCGATTTTAACTTAAACTGGTTGAGAGAGGTACAGTCTTTAACATGGTTGGGAAGGTCATTCCACATTCTGGGCCCCTTGATTTGTAGAGCATTTCTGGTTTGATTAAGTCGTACTGTAGGAATATCAAGACTATTTATTTCTGGTGTGGTGCTCATGGGTTCTGTTACAACCTTCTATGAAGCTTTTGAGATCAGGATTGGCATTATAGTTTAGCGTTTTATATATGTATAATACACATGAGAGAATGTGCAGTGACTTAATGTCTAACATATTCAGAGATTTGAGTAGGGGTACCGAGTGATGTCTGGGGCCAGAATTGGATATTGTCCTAATAGCAGCTTTGTGTTGAGTAATTAGAGGACGTAAGTGATTTTGGGTAGTAGAGCCCCAAGCACAAATACCATAGTTGAGATATGGATTGATAAGGGAGTAATAGAGAGTCACCAGGGCAGGGCGTGGTACATAATATCTGATTAGAAAGAATGCCCACAGTTTTTGAAACTTTTTTTGATATGTTTAGTATGTGTCCCTGGAAATTCAGCTTGTGGTCAATGAGAATGCCAAGGAATTTGCCATCTAATTTGTTACAAATTTGGGTATTGTTTATTTTGAGATTTATTTGATTAGAGGATTTATTGCCAAACAGAATATAGAAAGTTTTGTCAATATTAAGGGTGAGTTTGTTGGCAGTTAGCCACAGATGGACTTTATTTAGCTCAGTATTTACTGTGGCATTTAGAGCAAGGGGATCAGGACTGGAGTAAATGAAGGTTGTGTCGTCAGCAAATAGAATTGGTTTGAGGTGTTGGGAGGCATTTGGAAGGTCATTAATGTAGATGAGAAAGAGGAGAGGGCCAAGTATGCTGCCCTGGGGAACACCAATGTTGATGGGTAGGGTGGGAGAAATTGTATTATTCACAGAAACACATTGGAGCCTGTCAGTAAGGTAGGATTTGAGGTATTGTTGGGAGTGTCCTCTGACACCATAATGATGTAATTTACGAAGAAGGTTTTGGTGGTTGACAGTATCGAAAGCTTTACGCAGGTCCACAAATAACCCAACAGGGAACTCATTTTTATCAAGAGCTGTATGAATCGAGTTAAGCATACTAAAAAGTGCATCGTTAGTGCTTTTTTTGGGCCTGAAGCCATATTGGCAAGGGCAAAGTATATTGAGTCTGGCTAGATATGAGTAAAGCTGCTTATAGATTAGTTTTTCAAAAATTTTTGACAAGTTTGGCAGGATTGATATAGGTCTGTAGTTGTTAACATCTGTGAGATCACCACATTTGTGGACAGGCGTTACTCTCGTTTTTTTTTAGAATATCTGGAAAGGTTTGGAGTTCAAGTGACTTGTTGAAGAGCAAAGCAATAGCAGGGGCTATTATTGTCTCTTTCTTTTTTTACTTCCTTGTTCCATAGTACACTGGCTTTGCCTGTGTCCTCTAGTATAAACTTTATCATCCAGTGTATCTCAATTTAATCTACCTCATTTTGTTTTAGTGTTTTAGTGTAACTTTAATATTAAACTATTGTGTACTTATAATATTATAGTAAGTAAGCTATTCGTTTTATAGATTTCATAATTGCTTTTTGACTTTTATTGGTCATCCATTGTTATTAATTATTCTAGTTCATTTTTACTTTAAGTTCCCATAAGTTTTCATTACTTAAATTACCATTAAGTTTATATTACTTTACAATTTTTAAATCTTTAAAATTTATAACTAAAACTGGAGGAATGGCCCAAGAATATAGACACCAGTTGATTGACAGTTGAAACACGGGACCATAGAGCCCATGCAAACCCCTGCAAACACAACTAGGTGAGTACAAGTGTTGTTTAGAAATCGAAGAATGAGTTTTGATTACCTGTCACAGTTGTATCTTGAGAAGGTTGGTGTTTCTTCATTTTTTTCAAGGACTTATCCTCTTGCTCTACATTTTTGTCTTTTGCTTCCCTGATCTTCTTATTTTGATTTTCCTGAATGTGAACTGAAAATAAGGAAAACCTGAATAAAATATATATCCTCATTAAACAAAAATTGTGTTTCTCTACAGCTGCAGCTACAGATAACACACAGCCACTCTACTTGAATTAATGCACATGCTACACACACAAACACAATACTTCAACTCTACAAAAGTGACAGCAGAGAACACCCACTCAATTATAGACCTGTATCATTGACAAGTGTAATAGTCAAAATATTGGAAAAATAACAAAAACTAAATGGGTAGAAGACTGGGAGAGAAATGATATAATATCAGAGAGACAGAATGGGTTTTGATCTAGAAGATCCGGTGTATCGAATTTACTCAGTTTCTATGATCGAGTAACAGAGATTTTACAGGAAAGAGATGGTTGGGTTGACTGCATCTATCTGGACCTGAAAAACGCTTTTGATAGAGTTCCACATAAAGAGGTTGTTCCGGACACTGGAAAATATTGGAGGGGTGACAGGTAAGCTTCTAACATGGATGAAAACTTTTCTGACTTATAGGAAAATGAGGGCAGTAATCAGAGGCAGTGTATCAGACCGGAGAAATGTTACAAGTGGAGTACCACAGAGCTCAGATCTTGCACCGGGGATGTTCATTGTCTACATATACAATCTACCAGATGGAATACAGAATTTTATGAACATGTTTGCTGATGATGCTAAGATAATAGGAAGAACAAGAAACTTGGATGATTGGCATGCCCTTCAAGATGACCTGTCCAAAATAAGTGTATGGAGCACCACTTGGCAAATGGAATTTAATGTGAATAAATGTCATGTTATGGAATGTGGAATAGGAGAACATAGACCCCACACAACCTATAAATTATGTGAGAAATCCTTAAAAAATTCTGATAAAAAAAGAGATCTAGGGATGGTTCTAGATAGAAAAGTATCACCTGAGGACCACATAAAGAATGTTGTGCGAGGAGCCTATGCTACACTTTCTCACTTCAGAATTGCTTTTAAATACATGGGTGGTAAAATACTAAAGAAATTGTTCTACATAAATGTACAAAAAAAAAATTCTTAATGTTAATCCAGATCTGAAATTCTTCCTGGCCATGTAATAGAACCCCAATAAATCAATATATGAAAATATATTTAAAAATTCTTTGATAAACAGATGAGAATTTGTTGGGTATAGAAGGCATGAACTTCAGGTTGGATTTTTTTTATATATATATTTTTTTATTTATTTATATATATATAAAGGTAAAACACTATGAAGATGAAATTAGGTACTTTTTTGTATTGTTTATGAATGACGCAAAAGTTGGACAGCTTTTAAATTCAATAGGGAGTAAGTTCCATGGACTGGGTCCGTTTATATATATATATATATATATATATATATATATATATATATATATATATATATATATATATATATATATATATATATATATATATATATATATATATATATATATATATATATATATATATATATTTATATATATATATATTATATATATATATATTTATATATATATTTATATATATTTATATATATATATTTATATATATATTTATATATATATTTATATATATATTTATATATATATTTATATATATATTTATATATATATTTATATATATATTTATATATATATTTATATATATATTTATATATATATTTATATATATATTTATATATATATATATATATATTTATATATATATTTATATATATATATATATATATATATATATATATATATATATATATATATATATATATATATATATATATATATATATATATATATATATATATATATATATATATATATATATATATATATATACATATATATATACATATATATATACATATATATATATATATATATATATACATATATATATATATATATATATATATATATATATATATATATATATATATATATATATATATATATATATATATATATATATATATATATATATATATATATATATATATATAGCCTGCAGTAAGAGTCATGTCTGCTTTTCCCAAGTGTTCTCTACGTTGCAGGCTACAATTTGATATATGGGAGAGAGTGAAGTGTTCTCGGAGAGCCGAGAAATTAGTGAAATAGTAATATTTTGGCCTGTGGTATAGGCCCTTTAGGGAGCCAAGATGGCGCTTACTTCTCTGATCTCCCGCCAAAACCGTGTGACGTCAGTGGCACCGGATTGGTCACCGACAGCAATGTGGCACCGGGAGCCAATGAAAACTTCCCGTAGCGAAAGTGACGTCACGAAGGAAGGGGGTCCGGCCAGCGCGCCGGGCTGGCGCCAGCAGTCATACACGACACGTCATAGAGGTCGGACGTGCGACGAGTGGTCCTGTCTGTCGGACAGCTGTTTCCCACTACCGTGGATTTACGCGTCATCGGAAGTTCGCCAGTACTCTGAGAAGTCTTCCCTAGTTCATGTGTTGAACCAGAAGAGGGAATTGACGGTTATTTGAGCAACAAGTGCTCCAGTCAGGTACTGTGCCAGTAGCAGTGAAGCCGTGCAGTGACGTATGTTGACGTCTGTGGCAATTCACCAGTTCGTGACAGCGTAGTGGCTGACAGAGCCACTGGGTAGCTGAGGAAGAGAGGACTATTTGGGGAACCGGACGACTGTAGCCGAGACGTAGGCGACAGCCGTTGCTGGGAGAAGACGACGGCCAGGAGACCGACTCCAACCTTCAAGAAGTCAAGGAGGAGGACGGACCTGCAGTGAGGAGGCACGGAGACGACGCGCTAAACGGTGGGACGACGAGAGGCTCTGGTAGGACACGACGACGTGTAGTGTGGGGGCGTTCCCGACACGAGGACCAGGAGCTACATCTCGACTCTCATCGGAGGATAGGGTGAAGTAGGTGGTTCTAGTTCCCTCCCCATTCCCCTTTAGTTAGCTATATTATTTGGCTATATTATCTAGCCTGAAGATTTTATATGTCGTGAGCAAGTCTCACCTATGTCACGGTAAAGCACCAGGGTGCTAGACAGTACTATCAAGAGTACTTGTATTATTTATGTTGATTATTGGTGTGTACAGGCACCAGGAACCAGTGATAAATTTACTGTGTTGTGTATATCTTTCTATAGATTTTGATATGAACATATAGTGGTAAATTATATATAAGATTATGCCAGTATTTGGAGGTTAGGCTATGTGCCCAGAAACTATTTATTTTCCATGTATTGATGATTGATTTATATACCATATATATGTCTATGTTCTTTCAGTGAATAATCATTTGTGAGTACAGTGAATTATTGCGTTATCGCCCACGAGAGAAAGTACTGAAAACTCCCGTGTTAATATTTCATAATATATTGTTGGATGAATAACAGTGTAAAGCCAGAACAGTGAATCATTATAGCATTGATTATAGAAAAGACTGTTTGAGCCTGAGTACAGTGTAACCAAGTGATACGTGCGGTTGTAGCCAATATCGAGTGTGCGAGTTTCTAGTAATATTGGAAATTGTAAAGAAACAGCGCGCGTGAATCTAGAAAACAAGCCAAGTTCGCGCGGGGAGGCCATTGCAATCAGCTGTTCTTGACACTTGATGAGGAGGGGAGAGTGTTGCCCTCTAGTGATCGCATAATATCCGTGGGAATTACCGGCCGAGTCAGGATCAGTTGATTTATCGATTATTGTGTGGCCTTGTGACATCTTTCATACATTTTAAGTAAAATACAAAACTATCTTAGTGTTTTTATCATTCCCTCCATTGATCTTGTGGCTATACTATACCTGTAAGCATAGAGTGATAACAACAAGAACCTGCCTGATTCCTGATCTTTGAGTGTGACCTTGCCAAGGCTACCACTGAATACACCAGTCCACTGAGGGTGTTACTGGCCACCTTAAACACCAGTTGGCGACCTTGTGATTAACCGTAGAGCCCTATTGTTGGGGAGGGCACACGACAGTCGATGTGAACGAGTCGTGTTCTCACTCTTTCTTAATAAGAGGCCGTTAAGATTGACTGGGAGACTCTCCTGGCGTGCAGTGGCGCCGTGAGGATCGAGGGAAGACCCGCAGGGCTACGGTGAGTTACCTTGAGCGTAACTATTGCTCACCCCAGACTAGAGAGAAGAGAGGTGACAACCCCAACATTGGCGACCTTGCCAGGATATAGATCGGAGCAAAGGTTGCAGTGGTACTTGGCAGTGGTGTTAGAGATCAGGTGCAGGTTAACACTCGTAGCACAAGATGGAGGATGATAAAGTAGCGAGGTTTATTGACTCTAGAGACGAACAGGTGCTGGAAGAGTGCACCAAGGCACAGTTACAGGCTATAGCGGATCATTTTGGAATAAAGCTGAAATCTGCCCGAGTTGGTGAAAGAAGACTAGAGATAATGGCTCAGCTAAAGGCTCGAGACGAAGCTTTGGGGGAGGAACGGCCCCAAACACCTGCCAGTGAGGGTGAACACCTGAGTATTGGTGGAAGCAGCAGGGGATCCAGCGGCAGCAGGCACAGCATTAAGCTGGAAATAATGAAGCTGCAGCTAGAGGCACAGCAGCGCAAAGAAGAGCGAGAAGCGCAGCAGCGCAAAGAAGAGCGAGAAGCAGAAGCGCAGCTGAGGAGAGAAGAGGCACAGCAGCGCAAAGAAGAGCGAGAAGCGCAGCAGCGCAAAGAAGAGCGAGAAGCAGAGGCACAGCTGCGCCGGGAAGAACAGGAGCGAGAAGCACAGCTGCGCCGGGAAGAACAGGAGCGAGAAGCACAGACGAAGCGTGAGGAGCGAGAAGCACAGATGCAGCGTGAGGAACGAGAAGCACAGCTGCGCCGGGAAGAGCAAGAACGAGAAGCACAGCTGCGCCGGGAAGAACGAGAGCAAGAAGTTAGGCTGAGACAAATGGAAATAGAAGCCAACCAGGAGGTGGAGCTGAAGCGAGCTGAACTGGGACTAGGTGCCCCTGCCCCGCCACAGGAAGACCGACGAGTGAGGGAACGAGACCTGCCGGTCTTTGTGCCTAGTGAAGCCGAAAGTTTC